TTGACATGCTCCCCAGTTCTGTTGTTGTTCGGGATTGACATGCTCCCTCCCCCAAGTATTTTTGACCCAGGCTTGGTTTGAATCTGCAGATATAGAATCTCTAGGTATGGAGGGCTGGATATAATTCACAGACCAGCAGACTTACCCCTTGGGGGCTAGAGGGCATGGCTCAGTGATTAATAGTGCTGGCCGCTCTTCCAGAGGATTGGAGTTCCATTCCCAGTGCCTATTCAGGTGACTCACAACCTCCTGTATCTCCAGCTCCAGGAAATCTGACGCCTTCTCTGGCTTCTCCTGCACTAACATGGCATATACGCGCGCACGCACACACACACACACACACACACACACACACATCCTACAATTCTAGAATTCAGTAGATTTTTATGTATTCACAGAGTTGTATGAAAATGTTTTGACTCTAGACCATCCTCTCCTCGGGGTCTCATGTATTCCAGGCTGGTCTTGGACTTGCTGTGTCACAAGGATGACCTGGACACTTCCGGTCCTCCTGCTTCTACATCCTGGGTTCTAGGATGGCAGGAGTGCACCGCCACACCAGGTTATGTGGTGCTGGGACTTGAACCCGGAGCCTTGTGCATGCTAGACAAGTGCTCTACTAACTGAGCTACGACCCTAGAGCATTTCTGTCATACCTAAGAAACAGCATCAAGTTTGTCAACTATGAATATGGACCAAAATAAGCACCTGAGTCAAAGGGCCACGTGAAAGCTGCCCGGCACACAACAAGTGCTGAGGATTGAGCTTAGGGTACAGGAACATAGTTCCTTACCTGTATGACCCCCTGATGCCCCCTCCCCTAAGTGCCCATTCTACAGATCTACACTACTAAGGATCCTAGAAGCCGATGTTGGAAATCAGGGAGCAGGAGAGGAGGTGGGGAGGGAAGAAAGCCTCCAGTGGTCCCTGTGTGACTTTGAGAGGCAGCTGCTGCTCAGAGGGGACAGGAACAGGTGATCACAGCAGACAGGTGTGAGTACAGCTGGCAGCAAGGACTCAGGCTGGGGCACTTTAAGGGAATCCCTAATACCCTGAGACCCCCACCTAGGTCACAATTAGGTGATATCTTCAAGGTTCAAGGTCTGCCTTTCCTCCAAAGGGTGTTTGTTCCTCCTCCTCTTCGATAAGGTTTCTCTGTGTAGCCTTGGAACTGCCCGGGGACTTGCTATATAGACCAGCCTGGCCTCAGACTCATAGAGACCTCCTCACCTTCCTCACCTTCCTCACCTTCCTCTTCTTCCCGAGTGCTGGAGGAAGGCTCTAGAACACTTTTTTTTCTTTTCCTGAGTCAAGGTTTCTCTGTAGCTTTGGAGCCTGTCCTGAAACTCATTCTGTAGACCAGGCTGGCCTCAAACTCACAGAGATCCGCCAGTCTCTGTTTTTCGAGTGCTGGGATTAAAGGCGTGCACCACCACCACCCGGTCCCAGTACAATTCTTGATCATTTAAAATCAATCATGGATAGAGATACAGCTCATTGATAGATCCTAGCATGTGCAAAGCCATAGATTCAGTCCCCACACTACAAAAAAGC